AGCGGCGGGGCGGCCGCACTTCCGCGCCGCGACTGGCCCGGGCTCACCTTGGTCTCTACGGTGGGCCCTTCCCTGTAGCCGACCCGTTCCTTGAAGCGGGCCAGGAACGCCGGCTCGGCCGGCCGCACGTACGACACCTGGTTCCGCTTGCTCATGGCCGCGCGGGGGAAACACCGGCTCCCCGGGCCGCCTCGCGATTGCGCAGACGCCGCGGCGCCGCTGGTGACGTTACGCAGGCCCCGCCCCCTGGCGTCCGGCCGGGCAACATGGCGGCCTCGGTGTTTACGTCAACGTCCTCCCCGGGCGCCAAATTCAAATTCGCGGCCATCTTGAGCGGGCGGAATCCGAGCTCGCCGCTCGTGTGGAACTGAGGGCGTCCCCGCGTGGATCTCGGGATCCGGAGGTGAGGGCGCCATGGCGCCCGGCTCCAAAAGTAAGTGTGGAGCCCCGGCTTCGTGGCCCCGTCCCCGCCCCCAAATACTGCGGTGAAAGGGTGGCCGCCCTCGGCCTCCCGCCCGGTGCGAAAGGCGGGAGCTGAATGGCTGGAGGCGTTTGGAATCTTTGTCCCTCAGAGATTTCTCTCCCTCCATCAGCGCTTGGGGCGCACGCCGCAAGCCGGGACGGCTCCGGGTCCTCGGGCTGAGCCGGGAGCGGGGGGCGCGGCTGTCGTCGCCCGTCCCGTCCCGCCGTGTCCCTCCCGGGCTGCCCCTCTCGGGACCCGTGCCTGAGGGTCGGCCCTGGCTAGTTCCACGTTGCTCACCTTCCTGAGGGGGAGGACTTTAAATCACAGTTCAGCAGGGTCTTTATAGTCTCACAGCCCCTATTTTCTCCCCAAATAGTCGTCTGCTCATTCCTCTCCTGGAGAGGGGCGCTGTCATTCCTCCTTTGGATAAACCCTTTAATTTTCGCTGATTCCTTGGTCCCTTGCTGTTCCTGCGTGCTGCATGCCCCACCCCTTCCATCGCCCGCTCCTTTAAAAGTCCCGTTGCCTCGCGCCGACTTTGCGCCGAGCTGGTGGATCTCGGGGAAGGGTGTGAATGGCAAAGGGCAGAAGCCTATGAAGGTTGAAGAAATGGTGACCTTTCAAAGGCCTTTGAGCCTTGCAGCACCGTTAAGTGCTTCTAGCTGTCGATCGACCGTAATTCTCTTCCGATGTGTTTGTTTCATTAACCTTTTAGGTCAGTTGTAACCTTCCCCCAACACCTCCTTAGGCTCTCTTTTCCACCTAAAAGTGTTCCTTTTCCTCCACGGTGTTTAGTATTTAGAGGTTATTAGCACACAGATGAGTACATTGTTGGACCAAAATGTCCATCATGCTTCCTGTACAACCATAGTATTTGTTCAGTAAATCTGAACCCAAGCAGGAGACTTGATGCCTGGGATATAATTAGTGCAAAGTGGTATATGCATGTCTATTAAAGGGCTGGGCCCTGTCTCTATACTTCACTCTCCTAGACGTGATGGGAGCAGGGGTATTCACAGCGCCCCTTCGCGCTGGTGGCGATGTCCGTGGGGAACTCTCCCTCTCCTTTAAGTTTGTTAGCAGGGTTGAGGTTGATGTGCATGCATGCCCCTTGCGTTCTCAGCAGACCAGAGACCTGGAGCATGACGTGGGAACACGGGAGGAGAGAGCCCATGCAGTGCTCTCTGCAGCTTTTCCTTTCTTGCCCATGAAGGTTATTTCTTGTGACACCTAAAAGAGATGTAAAGCGGTGCACTTGGTCACCCAGAAGGACCTCCCCCTAGTGCCTAATCTCATGGTCCTAAAGGAAAATTCAGCCAGTGGCTGTGATAAAGAAAATAAAAACAGAGAGGCGGGTCATTTGTTTGAGATGGAAATATTAGTGGCAGAGCCGTGTCTTCATATCTTCTGACTCCAGGGGTAGACTGTTGCCATGTTACAAGGACATCAGGGATGACCTCGCCTATTGGACATTGAATTGGAGATGTCAAGTAGGCAATTAGGTGTGAGAGTCTGGGGCTAAGGAGTGTGGTCCTGGGAGAGGGTTTAAATCTGGAAATCATCAGTAGATGGAAGCAGTTAAAGCGATGAGACTGAATGTCAGCATCAGTGGAGTGGGTATGGATAGAACAGAGGAAGATCAAGGCCTGGGCCCTGGAGCACCCACTGTCCAGAGGTCAGGGAGCTGAGGAGACTGAGGAGGAGTGTCAGCAACTAAAGAGTAGGCTAGATAAGAATGGGATTTTTTATATTGCACTTCTAAACACCTTTAATGACTTCTTATCTTTTTTCCTAGCTGAGTTACGCAGTGTGACAAATTGTCAGTCTAACCAGCCAAGGTAAGGAAAAACCTTGTTAATGAGACCAAAATAATTAGGGATATAGTTTTCCTGAAATAACCAATTAGCATAGTAAGGGGTACTTGAAACAAGGGATGCTTGTTTCAGAATTAAGCTTAGTCCTTGGCTACCTGGAATCCTGGAAAAATCACATCTCCCCACTACCCTGCCCTCTCACCTTCCAGGCTTAAAAGATAGAATCAATACCATAATTCTCCCTTGGATGACTCATTTTGTTATTGCTATTACGAGGGGAATTAGAGATAAGCAGTGCTTGGAGCTTCTTGGAATCAGCTGCCTTTGAGTTGATTTCAAGTAAAGGCTTATGAGGATGACTATCCTGAAGCAAATCAGTAAAGGGTGTGGATTGTGTGGGACTCTTAAAAGAGATAAATGTAAATGGGGTAGATCTTGGGCTTGGTTGGGGAAACTCTCAGTATAGAAACATTAGAGGCAATGTGAGCCTCAGATCCATTTTTAGGTTTCTTCAATTAACTCAGCTACTACATTTTTTGTCTTCAGTAATGAAGGTGATGCCATCAAAGTTTTTGTGCGAATTCGTCCACCTACAGAGGGTTCTGGGTCAGCTGATGGAGAGCAAAATTTATGCTTAAGTGTGCTCTCCTCTACGACTCTCCGGCTGCACTCCAACCCAGAGCCCAAGACCTTCACATTTGATCATGTTGCTGGCATGGACACCACTCAGGTAATTATCATTTTGGAAGTGTAACTTTTCCTTTTGGAACATGTAAGATTCTGTTATTTGTGAGGATTTTGTTTCCGGCCTATTTAGTTTGATAGATCTCACATAAGGAAGCTCAGACATTCCATAAATATTTTTAATTTAATTTTATTAACTAATTTTTCTTCCTTCATTAAACTGTCAGAATGACAAGCCTTGCTTCACTCTTCCTCTCCATCCATTGATGGAGATTAGTGAAGGTGTACTTTTCAGAGCCACTTGGATGATTGATAAGCACAGTGAAACTGCCTACTTTAAGGAGAGTATCCTATTCAGCCCTGGCAGCTATAACAAAAATATCATAGACTAGGTGGCCTAAAAAAAAAACATTGATTTTTCACAGTTCCTGGAGGTTGGGAAGTCCAAGATATTAAGGCCAGGAGATCCAGTGCCTGGTGAGGACTCACTTCCTGGCTTGTAGACACCTGCCTTCTCACTGTCCTCACTGGTGGCGAGATGGAGAGGCAGGGGAGAGAATGGGATAGTAAGGGAGAGAGGGAGACCTAATTACCTCTCAAAGGCCCATCTCCAAATACCACCACATTCGGGATTAGGGGTTCAACATATGCATTTTGGGGAGGATGCATTCAGTCCATAATAGAAAGTGATTGATTTAAGATTACTATTATGTCAATAACTGCTTTTTAAAAAGTTTTAATCACTTGAGGATATTTTTATGTTGATTTTTAGAGATCCTCCCTTACTCACCCTGACTGGAGATCAAACCAAAACCTAGGTATGTGCCCTGACTGGGAATCGAACCCGCAGCGTTTTTGGGGTTTGACTGGACTGTGCTCCAACCCACTGAGCCACATCAGCTAGGGCTAAGCACACAACTTTTATTGTTATATTTTAGAATGTAGTTTAGGAAACATTTTTATTTTTATGAAATGTTAACATACTTGGTGTTTACATTTGTAGGAGTCTGTGTTCTCAACTGTGGCCAAAGGCATTGTGGAATCTTGCATGAGCGGGTATAATGGCACCATCTTTGCATAGTAAGTTGCTGACTGCGTTGCGTATAAAGGTACACGGGTACAATGACAAGTGCTTCTCTTCATTTCCTATGGCTGATATAGCAATTACCACAAACTTAGTGGTGAAACAGCACAAATCTGTTATCTCACAGTTATGCATGTCAGAAGTCTGGCATAGTCTCCGTGAGCTAAAATAAAAGTGTCAGCAGGCTGGGTTCCTTTCTGGAAGCTTTAGAGGAGAATCCATATTCTTCACAATACAAGCCACTCACAGTACTTGGCTTACAGCTCCTTTCTCTATCTTCAAAACCAGCAACATGCAACTTCGTCTCTTCCTTAGTCACTCACCCTCTAACTAGAGATGGGACATCTTCTCTAATTTTAAGGACTTGTGTGATTAGATTGCCTCCATCTACTTGTATTATAGCAGGTTCTTAAGTAACATTTAGTTATAACTTTGATAAGATGCTGTAGGAACTTAACTCTTGTTTATATTGATTAGCCTATGGTAAAATTGGTTTTGTTATACATCAGTTTCACTTAAAGTCGCAGAACCCACTGACAACATTAGGTGATGACTTACTGAATTTGGAATTCTGTAAGGAAGATCGTCTTTTCTCTCCCACTTATTTACATATATGGTATGGATGCATGTATATTTAGCTTGGGTTATAATCCACTACTCTGGATTATATTTATCTTTTTGCTCATATTGTTCTAGATTGTCCATTGAAACTATTTGAGGTTGGTTTCTGTGTCCCACTGACATGTCACATCCTTTTGGGGTTTTTAGCACTTGCCTACTTTCTGGTGCTACAAGATGCTCCTGGCTCATCTTGTATTTTTCCTGTCCTAAGCCTAGGATCAGCCATTTTGCCAATGAGCCCTGGTTCTTTTTCCTGGAACCAAGATCTGGGCACTAGGTGTATTTGTTGCTACTGGAGTATCACTGCTTCTAGGCCTTCCCAGACAGAGCTAGGTAATACTAAGTCATGTATACAGACATATCTATAGTTGTTTCTTTACCTATCCATTTGCATCTACATTAAACTAAATAACAGTTCATACTGATGTCTCTGACTCTAACCCAAGGGTTTAGAATTCACATGGATTCATTCTAGAAGCCAGTGAATCCATAGGGTTCATGCTAGTCTTTCTTGTGTATCTGTAACTTCCCTTGCTGACAGTGAAAGACCTGGCTCCTACCTTCTTTCATACATTTATCTATGTGTTAAACCCCAGTACACACGGAAATAGTTTCAGAATTGTTAACCTGTATCCCTATGAGAAAAAAAATGTACCGAATACAATGGTTATGTAAGGATTCTTTTATTCATTCATTTGTTCATTCATTCATTCATTCATTTAAATATATCTTTATTTATTTCAGAGAGAGGAAGGGAAAGGGAGAGAGAGAGAGAGAAACATCAGTGATGAGAGAGTTGTTATTGATCAGCTGCTTCCTGCAGGCCCCCCGCTGGGGATCGAGCCCACAACCTGGGCATGTGCCCTGAGCAGAAATCGAACCGCAATCTCCTGGATCCTAGGTCAGTGCTCAACTGCTGAGCCACCCCTGGCCGGGCTCTTTTATTTTTTTTTAAGCCATAACAATTTCTAGTCAAAAACCTCATTTCTAAAGTTGCTTAGGTCAGCTCCTTTTCTACCCAGCCCCTGCAGTGCGTTTATGTCATGCACTATGCAGTGCAGCTAGATGCATTCCATCCTGGGATCTCTGACATCTGGTTGATGTGTTTTGCTTACTTATTGAGTTTGCATATACTTTCAAGTTCACCCTTTGTAGTGAACACTTAGTAGTGTTTTGACAAATGCAGACAGTCATGTATTTACCATCCAGTACTGAAGAGAACAGTTCCCACAGTTTGTCCCTTCTGTAGTCAGCAACTTTCCCTTCCCCCAAACTCTGATATCCAGGGTATACTGATATATTTGCCATTCCTATAGCTTTGCTTTTGTAGAGTGTCATTTAAATGGAATCATACATTATGTAGCCTTTTGAATTTGGCTTTTTCTCCTTAGTAGAATGCATTTAGGTTTCATCTATGTTGCATGTATCAATAGTATATTTCTGTGGTGTTTTTGTTTTACTGAATAGTATTTTATTGTATGGATGTACCACAGTTTGTTTATCCATTTCCCTACTAAAGGATTTCTTGGTTGCTTCCAGTTTTTAGTGATTATAAGTAAAATTGCTGCAAACATTTGAATATTGGAGTGCCGATCCTGAGTTTCTAAATGTTGGCAAGCCTAAAAATATGGCTAGAGATTAAATGTTGGATTATAAGCTGGAGGTCCAGGAAGCATTGAGACAACCTTGGCAGTTAGTTATACAAGGTGAATTTTAGTATTATTTCAGATTCATTTCATAAATACAAATATAATTTGTAGTGTAATTATTTTTATTTTTTATTTTTTGTTGATCCTCACCAGAGGATATATTTTTTCCATTGATTTTTAGAGAGTGTAAGGGAGGGGGCAAGGCAGGGGCAGGGGGAGAGAGAAACAGAAACTTCGATGTGAGAGACACATCAATTGGCTCCTCCCGCACCCACCCGGATCCGGGACTGAACTTGCAACCCAGGCACGTGCCCCTACCAGGAATTGAACCCACAACCTTGCTGTGCATGGGACAATACTCCAACCAACTGAGCCATACTGGCCAGGGCTAAAATTGCTTTATTTTAAGTGAAGACATTTCAGTATCTTAAAGGCAGAATTTAGGAACGGAATGGCTGCATTATTCAGAATAGTAAAAACTAGAAACAAAAGTCCAGTTTGTTCTGGTTAAATAAGTTATGATACATTGAAGAATAGTATGCAGCTGAAAAAAAAAATGAAGTAGATCTCTACTAACTTAGGGAAATATCTGAGGTAAAATTTAGGGGAAAACAAACAGGTTGCAGAGCAGTCTTAAGAGCATCATTCCAATGTTGTAAATAAAAACTAAAGGAAAAGCCTAATGGCTTGTTTGTATAACCCAGAAGCATTTATCAGACAGTGGAGCTTAGCCCTTAGTGGTAGAAGAGGAGGGAAAGAAAATGGGTCATTCACGTTTTACCTAACGTAATTCAGGGAAAGAAAGAAAGTCAGCTCTTCGTGGGGAAAACTTGTATAGGAGTAGGCCATATTACAGTAGTAAACTTCATGTGTAAATAATATGTAACATTCGTTTTACAGCGGACAGACTGGCTCAGGGAAAACATTTACTATGATGGGTAAGTAAATTAATGATTAACATTTGCTGGCTTAATCTACTCTTTCTGTGATAACAGCACCTAGCATATTTTTTGGAAGGGTATAATTTCTATACATATATGATGCTGACCTCATAAAATTAGGGGTATCTCTCAGGCTTCTGTTAGATTGCAAGTTCCATTAAAGCAAAGTCCATGTTTGCAGCTCTGTTCCCAGCTCAATGCCTATCACAAAATAGTTGCTCAATAAACAGTCTTTGAATTGGGTATACCTGTATAACAACAACCCAGATCCAGATTCCTATTCAGTAACTATCTCCACCCCATCCTCTGAAGTATGTCAGGAAACTTCTGACATCTAGCATCATTAGCTTTGCTTGTTTTGAAGTTTTACAAATGAAATTTTACAGTATGTACTCCTTTATGTCTGGCTTCTTTCTCTCAGCATCAAGTTTCAAGATTCCCTTATGTTGCATGTTCTGTTGCTGTCTGCTATTGTATCAGTATACCACAATTTTCCACTCTACTGTTGATAGACATTTGGATTATTTCCAGTTTAAACCATATGAATAATGGTACTGGGAACATTTTTTGTCATATGTGTCTTTTAAAGTAATTTCTCTTGGATATGTACCTAGTAGTGGAATTGCTGGATCATAGTATATGCATATTCAGCTTAGTAAATACTGCCAACAGTTTCCAAAGTGATACATAGAAGTTACAGTTACTCCACATCCTTGTCCACACTTGAGACTATCAGTTTTGAAAGTTTTAGGCATTCTGGAGTGTTTATAGTATTATTTCATTGTGTGTTTATTTGCATTTGCCTGATGTCTATTAACAACTGAGCACCTTTCATATGCTTATTGGACACTTGAATAGCTTCTCTGTAAAATGCCCAGTAAAGCTTGTTCCCATTTAAAAAATTAGCTTGTCTTTTTCTTACTCATTTGTGGGGATTTTTTATGAAATAAATAAAGCCCTTTGTCTATGATATAGATTACAGATTTTTCTGTATGTTTTTCATTTCTCTTTTGACTTATGTAAATTGCCTTTCAGTGTTGTCATTTTGAAGGACTACTGTAATATGAAGAAAAATGAACAGCTATATATTTTTATATATTTTTAGGACCATCTGAATCTGATAATTTTTCTCATAACCTGAGAGGAGTAATCCCACGCAGTTTTGAATATTTATTTTCCTTAATTGATCGTGAAAAAGATAAGGTAAAACTTACTATAAAAATAAAGCAATTCTATTTTGAGAATGTAGCTAGTAGTGATGACACATGGAGGGGGTTGTACTGTACAGTGTGGAGAGGCTAGTGTGGTTTAAAAAAAACACCTGTCAATTCTTAAGATAAATTTAAGGATTCTGAGTTTTTTATTTTCTAAACGTTTTTAGTTTTTATAAAATATGCTTCATCCATGAACCCAGATTGCTGGTTTAAAAGACTGTGATCTCCTCACTCACATGTGGTATGGCTCAATCATCCTGGGGAGTGGGCTTCCCTCTTCCATTGGCTCCCAGTTGGGCCATTCTCACAATTGTGTTCTTTAGCTTGGTGATTTCCAGGCTTAACAGCCATTCATGTTGTATATTTTAAGGAGACTGATATGTAACATTGGTTTACCATTTATTCCTTTGCAAAAACTATCCATAACTGCAGTTAGACGTGCATATTGCATGTCAGTGAAATGTTTAGTAGTGCCATGGCATTTCTGTGGTTGAAAATTCTGTAGAGACACTTTTAAAATAAATTATTTTGGAGCTTTTGAAGTATATAACACTTTCTTTGAGTAAAACTTTATGAGGAATTCCAGTATATAAGGCATATAAAAATGAAATTGCCCAACTGGACTGCCCAATTCCCATCTCCCTGTCCTGGTTCTCAGCACCTCTGGAAACTAGCACTCTTGGGACCAAAGTGATGCTGTTTTAAAATGTAGTGATATGTTGAAACTAGTTACCTAGGTTTTTTTAAACTCTTATTTTTATGGTGTAAAGAATAAGACTAGAAAATTTACACTTGTGAAGCAAGTGAGAGATTAATGCTCTTGAAAGATAGGGATGACTGCATGAAAGTAATATATCTAAACCAGGCTTCTCTTTTACAGGCTGGTGCTGGAAAGAGCTTCCTTTGTAAGTGTTCCTTTATTGAAATCTACAACGAGCAGATCTATGACCTACTGGACTCTGCATCGGCTGGACTGTACTTAAGGGAGCACATCAAGAAGGGGGTCTTTGTTGTTGGTGCGGTGGAGCAGGTGGTGACCTCAGCGGCTGGAGCCTATCAGGTATCTGGCCTTGACTGTTTTGATCCTTAGACACCAGAGCATGCTGTGAAGTGCACCTTGATCTTGACAAAAGCAAGAATTGAGCTACTAAAAATACTTTGTAAATGCATAACAGAACGTTCACGAAAAGAGAGGAAAATGGAGTATGACAGTGTTTTACACATCTCCCCTTAGTTACAATGGAACATTGTCCCTCTTGACTTTGCACTATTTTGGTGCTATTCACTCCATTCAGGCACTCCTAAAACCATCCTGGATCACATGGGACATCTCATAGTGTCTGTATTTCTTTAGTGGTTCTTCCTGGAAGCTGCTCCTTTGAGGAGCTACCAGGATCTCTGCTCTCTAAACCAGCTGTAGATATTATGACCTTGCTACTCAAAAGATACTTCTCAGACTGTGAGTATCACCTGTTACAAATGCGGAATCTAAGGCCTTACCTCACACCTACTAAATCAGAATCTGAGTTTTAACAAGATCCCCAAGTGATTAGTATGCATATTACAGATTGAGATGTTGTGCCTCATGGGGTAGGACCCATAACCCCATTTTACAAACGGGACTGACCTTTGAAAAGGATCAGCTGGCCCCAGGCCACACAACAGAGGGTTGACCTCACGTTCATGGATTCTAAGGCATGCAGACTGAACCTTCAGGTGTCCTGTGTGCCATAGGGAATAGTGGGGGAGAACAAATGCATGGGCGCCCAAAGGAGCTGACAGGAGGGGCCTGAAGGTCGTGTTGAGGTACATCTTTCTAGCTTTCTCATTGTCTCGGGAGGGGAGGGCTTCAGAGAGATTCTGTGATTTGCATTAAGGCAAAACCAGTTCTAGATCCTGTGGTTTCTGATTCCGTCTGTTGTCTTTCCGTAATACAGGGAGGGGCGACAAGGAAAGGGACAGGGAAATACCTTGAGTACATTCCTTGGGGAACCAGGATTTTTCCTCACTACTCTACAGTTTTCCTGCAGATGCTAGTGGCTGTTGTGGCCACTTGGGGGCTGTGATGTGTCTCCGTTTTTCTAGGTGTTGTCTGGAGGATGGAGAAACAGGCGTGTGGCGTCAACGTCAATGAACAGAGAATCCTCGCGGTCCCACGCAGTCTTTACAATTACAGTAGAGTCGATGGAGGAAAGCAACGAGACCGTGAATATCCGAACCTCCTTGCTCAATCTGGTGGACTTGGCAGGATCCGAAAGGCAGAAAGACACCCATACGGAAGGGCTGAGGTTGAAGGTAAGAATGGAATTATGGTCTTCAGGTGAACCTGTGTGTGAATTCTTCTAGAAATCAGTAACAAGCTAAGTGTTTTGAGGGCTACAAAGGAATAAGAAGTTGTAAAGATATAGACATTTTTTTGTGGGGTAGGAACAGTAAACGTAGGACAAGTTTGTTAACAGCAAGAGGTATTTGAATTCATGCCAAATACTGACTTGCCTTTCCACTCAAAATTGTCACCTTGTTAGGTATATTTTAATTAAAAATACTAAAAAGAAACTAGTGCACCTAAAGTTTTGTCCTTTCCCCCGATGCCTTAGGAAGCAGGTAACATAAACCGATCATTGAGCTGCCTGGGCCAAGTGATTACTGCCCTTGTCGATGTGGGAAATGGGAAACAGAGACATGTTTGCTACAGGGACTCCAAGCTCACTTTCTTACTCCGGGTAAAGTACACCATTGGCTTCCTGGGCCCTTCTTTTGGCTGATAGTTGGATAATTTCGCAGCCTTGGTGGTAAGAGTGTACATTTTCTTTGCTTTAAAAAGATGTGGTTTCTTCCCTGAAAATGTGTACATTCACATCATTTAACAGGATTCCCTTGGAGGTAATGCTAGAACAGCCATAGTTGCAAACGTTCATCCTGGATCCAGGTGTTTTGGGGAAACCCTATCAACGCTGAATTTTGCTCAAAGGGCCAAGCTGATTAAAAATAAGGTAAAATTCTGAGTACAATGAGGTAAATTAGAAAAATACTTACACTTGCAGTATCTCACTTTTGTGATTTCCCTAATATTAACAGTAGCTTTTGTTTATTTCACAACGAAGGCTTAACTCTAAGCAAGATTTCTATTCATCTTTCCCAGTCTTCTGTGTCACTCATGTAATTTGAGACCCATATTGGGTCTTATGAAGTTATTGTTGGCCTAGTTTTTTCTTAAGGGAAGGCAAAGTGTTTCCTTTGTGACCACGTGGAGGTTGGAGACTTAATTTATGTACCTGAACCTTGCTAGCAGAGCTGGGGCGGGTAGGGATTCACCCTGAAAATAATTTGATGATGTTGACAAACCTTGTCTTTCACTTTGCCTGTAACTACAAGGATTCTCTATTTTTCTTTGTATACAAGAAGCTCCCATGTGAGAGAAAGCAGCCATAGGCAGTATGTCGGCACGTGGCCATGACTGTCCCAGTACAACTTTGCAAAGCAGGCAGCAGACTGTCTGTGTCCCTAGAGCAAGGAGCACTTTGCCAGCTCCTGGTGCAGACTGTCAAAAACCAGGGAGTCCCCCATTTGTTTTGAGGGGTTGGAGGCCCCTTTGGTTCCAAACTAAAGAATTGTAGTGTCCTAAATTGGCAGATTAATTTCTTCTACCATTCAAAGGATAAATTGATCGTTCTTACCCCCTAAGCAAACTCCCTGATCATCGTATCATGGTAAGAGTGAAGGTTCCATGTTGCCCCTCCCCTGGGTAGGTCGGAAGAGTGTAGGCTTTAGTCATTCATTCATATTGTTGGATTATGACCCACTTGTGGAGTATATGTAATATGAGGAGGAAAAGTAATTAGAGCTTCCTGGCCCTATCTCTTGGGACTTACCAGAAGTTTTTAGAGAGTAGAGAACTGCAAGGGTAATTAGATTTATGAGGTCACTGATGTGACAGTGATGTCAGAATGTACAGGAGTGCCTTGTAATGAGCTGGCCTTGAGAATCAGAAGCACCTAAGAATGGCTTCTTAACACATGAAACAACAGAACCGGGGCCCTTACATTAGTCACTGTCAATGGTAAGTCCCCTGCTGCAGCGAAGTGGCTGGGATATTGGGACTTGTTTAAGGGTGAACTAGTTAGATCTTTCCCAATGCGCAGACCTGGCTTAAGACAGGAACACAGGGACCTGGGGCTTTTCCTTCACTGAAAAATTTGGTATTTCGCAATGGGTCCCTTTGATCTGGTTAGTACTCACTCAGCTGTTAGCTCTTGTCACCCTGTAGGTTTTGTGGATCTTTTTCAACTTCCTAAACATCATCTCAAATAAGACATTTCTTTAAGAAAAAAGTTTTTTAAATATGTCTATTGATTTCAGAGAGAAGAAGGGAGAAGGAGAGAGAGATAAACATCAGTGATCCACGATCTCCTGGATCATAGGTCGGTGCTCAACCTCTGAGCAACACCGGCTGGGCAAGAGACTTTTTTAAAAAGAGTGTTAAGTGTGGTAGTAAAACAGAAACGGAGCTATAACACCAAACCTTCCTTTCAGGAAGTGCTGTTAGGAAATACAGGGTTGGATTCCTGTGGAGAGGGTGTTTTCTGCCAAGCTCATGGAGCTCAGGCAGCCCTGCAGTCATCACACCCTTAGAGTAAGCTAAGACAGGGAAGATCATCCCCATCGAGGGCTTTGCTCTTCTCCATGGGGTGGGGCTGTCTGTCTCAGGTCTCAGGAAGAAGGCAGTGAGAGATGAACATGTCCAGATCGCAGGGTGACCCAGCCCAACAGGGCCCAGAGCTAGTCAGCAGAGCTGAGACATAAGTGGGAGCAGAAGGGAGGAGTGGCTAGAAGGGGAGGAATCTCTGGCTATGGGTCTGAACACGGAGAGGAAACGTCCTCCCCACTGCAGCACTCTGGTCCCAGTGGCCTTTCGACTGTTTGTTAGAATTGCGCCAAATCATACAAATGAAAATATAAGACTATACAACTCATAAGACGTTCTTTTTTTGTTGTTCTTGTTTTTATTTTATTTCTTTTTTCACAAAAATGTTCTTTTATTTATAGATTTTAGAGGGGGAGAGAGAAACATTGATTTGTTGCTCCACTTATTTATGCATTCATTGGTTAATTTTTGTATGTGCTGTGACTGGGGATCAAACCCACAACCTTGGTGTATTGGGACAATGCTTTAACCAACTGAGCTACCTGGCCAGGGCCACAAAACATACTTTTAATGCTTCTTTAAAAATTCCTGAACAGGCAGTTGTAAATGAAGACACGCAAGGCAATGTGAGCCAGCTCCAAGCTGAAGTGAAGAGGCTCAAAGAACAGCTGGCCCGGCTCACTTCAGGGCAGATACTACCAGGAAGCTTTCTGACCAGAGGTAAGTTGTGTACAGAGGTCTGTATCCTGAGGAAGGCCATGTGCAGACCTTGGTATTGGAACCTTCCAAAGACAGGCACAACACAATAAGGCTACCCAAACTTTTCCACAAGTATCTTTCTATTTATTTCACCTACATAGGAACGTAGTACTTTGTCTGTAACCAGATATAGATTCCATAGGTGTGATCTGTGGGAAGGGAGGAGTAGAAATAATTTTGAATAATAAAAGTGCTAAAATGACATACTAATAAGTTTCTTTTTGATCCACTTCTAAGATTTGTTTTTATGATATGCAATTCTTATATGTTTATTAAACAGGACAAGAGAGGCTTCTTAGACTAGCTAATATCTGTTGGGTTAGTTTAAAACCCGTGATCTCGTGATAATAGTTTGATTCTCTTGGGTTAATTGAGAGCAGTCAGTCAAAGGCTGTTGTAGCTCACCTCGTGGTCTTCAAATGTGAGAGCTAAACATTTTTTCCCCTTTCTCTTTCTTACTGGGCCAGTTACAGACAAAGGCGAGACTGATTATATGAAGTGTTTCCAGGAGGCAATGTTATTCTTGAAGAAGTCTGAACAGGAAAAGAAGGTAGGAAACTGAACTAGTGTCAAGGGAACATTTAAGGCTTTACTGTGTGATCAGTGCCTTTCTGGGGGGAGTAAACGGCACCAGTAAATAAAATGGGGAGGCTGTGAAAGATCTAATTTTGCCTTTGAGATTAAATGGAAAGCTAATGTTTATTGCTTGGTTTGTGAAAATTTAGGGAAGGTGAATTATTTTTCATGTTTAACCAAATTATGTATTTCTTAAGTCTCTGATAGAAAAAGTTACCCAGTTAGAAGACCTCACCCTCAAAAAAGAGAAATTCATTCAGTCTAATAAAATGATTGTGAAATTCCGAGAGGATCAGATAATGCGCCTGGAGAAGCTCCATAAGGAAGCTCGGGGAAGCTTCCTGCCGGAGGAGCAGGATCGTTTGCTGTCGGAACTAAGGGACGAGGTTCAGACTCTGCGAGAGCAAGTGAGTACATGTCATTTGTAGCATTTCCCAGTGTAAAGGACGCCCGAGGCAAGTAGGAACTTGTCACTAAATTTTTGTCATTCAATTCAACAGAAGGTGTTTTAAATAAATTAAACTGACAAGATGATTGCATAGTCCCNAGACTCTGCGAGAGCAAGTGAGTACATGTCATTTGTAGCATTTCCCAGTGTAAAGGACGCCCGAGGCAAGTAGGAACTTGTCACTAAATTTTTGTCATTCAATTCAACAGAAGGTGTTTTAAATAAATTAAACTGACAGGATGATTGCATAGTCCCGACACCTCTCTCTCTCTCTCTCTCTCTCTCTCTCTCTCTCTCTCTCTCACACACACACACACACACACACACTTTTCCAAAATAATAAAACCTGAAGGAAAAACACTTGGCCCAGCAGGCCAAGTTACATTCAGCCAGGTGCACACTACGGTTATCTCTACAGTTCAGCCCTTAAAGTTTTGTTTATTGTTGTTTTTCCTTTTGCTTGGAAAGGATGGATAGTTAAAAATCAAATGTAGGCACATAATTAAAAATCAAATATAACTGGTATTCAGCTTTGTGTATCTTTCCAGAGGTTTTATGCATATTCAAACTAATACAGATATTTTTACTTTTTTTCTTTTTGTTCAAAAGGCAGCTCATCATACACTCTTTTCTGCGCCTTGCCCTTTTCACACAGTATATCTTGGAGGGCACTCAATCCTGGTCAGTAGTTTCATTGCTTTGTGCAATAAACATAAGCAGTCTCCTTTGCACGAAGAATCTGCCACAACCTATCCCGTATGTTTATCTCCTAGGGGCCTGAGTGACAGTTTCAAGGTTGCAGACCCAGACATAGAACATGGAGTTGTAGGATATGCACGTACTCAGTCCGTGATCACAAGGGCCACTTGCTTTCCATGGTGGTCACAGCAGGCTACCACCAGTGCATGCGGCGTTCATAATGTTTTCTAACAGCTTTTCAGAAAGACTTGTTCATTAAGGACATGTTTGTACATATATGAGTCTGTAATCCTTCTGTGTCACACAGATAGAGCACCACCCCAGAGTTGCCAAATACGCTATGGAAAACCACTCCCTCAGGGAGGAGAATAGAAGACTGAGGTTACTGAAGCCTGTGCAGAGAGCTCAGGAGATGGATGCGCAGACCATTGCAAAGCTGGAAAAAGCTTTCCTCGAAATGTCTAGCACAGAGAAAAATGACAAAAGTAAGAAGTGATTGTTGAATATATGCCTTGAAAGGGCAGGGGCTGTTTTAAAGGGCATTTATGTTGCCTGGCATTAAGGGTCTTCATGTTAGCCTCTAGACCTGGTATACTAATTTCTTATATACATACTTCTTTTATGTTATCAAGTCATTTTCTATACTTTTTGCTCAAAAATCACAGTAGTAAATTATGTAGGCTAGTAGATATAGCAAGGAAATACCCATTATATATCTTTGTGGGGTTTTTTCATTGATTGGGGGTGGGGGAGAGAAACATCGATTTGTCATTCCATCTATTCATGCATTCATTGGTTGATTTCTGTATGTGCCCGGACCAGGGATTGAACCCACAGCCTTGGTGTATGGGTCCGATGCTCTAACCAACTGAGCTATGCAGCTAGGGCAATAGATGTCTCTGTTTTGTCAATAAAAGACTTATTAGATATTACTTTTAATTTTATTAAATAGAATTTTCCTGTTTTAAGTATTTGAAATGAAGAATGCTAACTAAGCACAAGATGAATGGATGTAGAATTGAAGTGTTTACCCACCTGACTACGGTCTGTGCAGTGAGAGATGTCGGCGTGATCGGACTCATGGTCCACCCAGCGCAGTGTTTGGGTCCTGGTGTCATGGTTGCTGGTCATGCTTGCTAGTGTGCACTCTGTTAGTTATACAGTATTTCTATAAGTTTACTTTTGCGGAAGTGGTTTAGTTAGCACTGAATCTAACATACAGGCTTGGCAGCTATTGGTATTCACGCTCTGGAATTTGGTAGGAAAGTCTGTGGTTGCTCCATTTTTAGAGTGAATAGTTCCGTGGTCTTTTATCATACCCTGTCTCAGCCTTTGTTTCGGTTTAGGTTGAAATTGAGAAAGTTTTAACCTTTTTACTCTACACTCATAAAGAAGCCTGTTTGTCTGCTTGTTTTTAAAATTTTCTTTTCTAAGCCCTCTTCCATTCTCTTTATGACATAATAAAAGAATAAAATCCTCAGTATTTGGGTTGTGGAGAGACTAAGATTTTAGATGCAAAGTTAAAATCAGGTTTTCTGTATTGTTTCAACTACTTTTCCCTACAATGCTGTGTATTTTGTTGGCCATTTTGACCTCAATTGTACCTTGACTTGCCACCGCTCTCTAGACAACGTGACATGGTATTTCCCCACTGAAACTCAGGGGGACTCTCTTCAACATATCCAGTATTCTCAGTAATCCCTGAAAATTAATCTTTCCTACCCGGTTGGTGATACCAGGTTCTTTCAACTTGCTGCTTTTGCTATTTGTTTCCTTTCCTAAAATTCATTTACTCTTAACATTAGCCACTAGTGCTAACTCCTGCCAGACTCACCTGGCGATGTTTCTCCCTCTAGCATTTTGCCTGTTGTACTTCAGTCATTGCTGGCTCTACCTAAGCTTTTGTCTTAAACCTGCCCGGGTCCCATCCTGTGGCTTCTTAGTCTCTCAGCTTCTCAAAACAACTGCTAATAACTCTTCGCCACACTGCGTTGTATTTTATGCTTCTTATGGCTCTTGTATTGTAGGGTCCACCTTCCAACCCATTTCTCCTTTTTCCTTTGCTTAAACATGGACACTTGACAGAGACCTAGAAAATGTATTCTATTATTTCTGTCTTTCAAAGACCATGTTGTTTCCTTATTATCAGGCCAGCAAGGATTCTCTCCTAAACTTGCGAAAGAGCCGTGTTCATTAGCAAGCTCTGAGAAGCTATCAGTACAGCTCCTGCAGATTCAGACTGAGCTGAATAACTCGAAGCAGGAACACGAAGAATTCAGAGAGCTCACGAGGTGAGGCTGAATGAATGCCCCCCCCCCACTGTCACGCCTTTCAGTGCCCATTTGCTCTAGGGGTCATGCTGGCCATCTAACTGAGCATTTCACTTCCGCTCTTCTCAAGTAACAACTAACTTGTTTTGACATGAGGGAAAAGGGCTTGCTGCCAGTTTTATTTTTACTCCTTGTTTTTAAATTGAAGTATAATTGACATAAACTTCTAGCTCTTTAATATATTTAATGAAGTAAGATTATATGAGTGTTTTAATGTTGCGATGAGTGTCTATTGAACTTACACAGTAAATTGTTTATCCAGCCACCACATTTTAAATCACCATTGTTATGAATTAAATCTGGATTTTTAGAAATTTCTGATTATTTGTTAATATTCTTACTTGACCCTCTGCGTAAAAGAAAACAAAGGAAAACCGCATTCATATTATAACTCAGACTAATCCTGTTCTAAAATATAAATGATTTAAAAATAACGTATCACATATGGAACCATCATGGACTGCTTGGGCTTTATTTAAAAATCGATTTT